TCTCATCAGGTGGCACCCTGCCCTCGCACGGCTTGGCAGCCACGGGGAGGGATGGGACAGGCTGGCAGAGGGTCCTGGGGAACCTCTCCGGGACTCTCCCCAGCTTTTCCAGAGCTTTGGGATGCGATGGGTGAGGAGTGAGGGGGTTCAGCATCAGCACAAGGTCTGGAATGCTGCTGGGGAGGGAGAGGGGTCACTCAGCCCCCCAACCCCACCCCATGCAATGGATTCGGGTAGATCCATAGGGATGGGAGGATCCAGCCTCCTGGACGAGCCCTGCTCCTGCAGCCTCCCTCCCCTACAGCGTGCCCAAGAGTCCTGCCGGGGCCAGGAGGGCTGCGGCATTCCCGGGAATTATCAGCAGGAATATTAGCAGCCGGGGTTTTGTAATTGTTCTTGCCAAACATTAATGAACGGCCTCATTGCTATTAACGAGCCCGATTAGACCAGATGTTGAAAGCCTTTATTAAATATTAGCTCAGCTTTTACCTGGGCCAAATTCCCCTTGGAATTTTCGAAGACTGAAGGAAACTTCGTGCCAGACTACCAGACTCTGGCTCATTCCTGCTCATCCCAGCTGCACTTCCCAAACTCCCCTGAATTTTGCCCCGCCTGGAGCAGCAGCCCCGCTGGCACGAGCATTTCCCTGCTGGGTGTCACCCAATGTTTATGGGATGAGCTGCCCCAGCCTTGCCCCGTTCTGCCCCTTCACCTCTCCTATCTGCCGGGCTCACCTCCTCCCCTCTGCCCCGCCACTCCTCCTCCTCCTCCTCCTCGCTGCCTGTTTGCCCCGAGGAGCCGGGGGAAGCGAGCCAGCCGCCTTCTCACGCAAACCTGGCCAATCGTTAACCTGAGCCTGGCTCTGCCCCTGGCCCGGAGGATCCTGCCGCCACCACCGCTCCCGGGGCAGAGGACCTGCTGGATCATTCCCCAGGGATGGATGGGGAATGTCACCAATGTGTCCCCTCGCTCACAGCCTGCAGCTCTCAGAGTGGCCATGGAGGTGACAGCCCTCTCTGGCTGCTGGGAACAGCCTGGCCAGCCCAGAAAAGATTTTTTGGGGAAATGCTGGCACCCACATTCCACAGGCAAGCAATGCTGACAACATGTTCTACATCCTCTGCAAGGCAGGGCTTAGGGACCCCCTTCTGCCTCCCCACAGCAGGCTCCAGGGCCTGGCCCAGGAGGAGAAGTCACCCTTCCTGCCCTAGAGCTTCCTGGAGGGGAGAAAGGCTCTTCCCTGGCTTCTTGGGCAGGCTCCAGGCAGGGTCAGGCCCGTTTGTTAATGGGTAGCTACTGCCAAGGGCTTTTGTCACGGGAGGAGGGAGATAAATACCCAGTGGTGCAGGGAGATAAATACCCAGTGGTGCAGTGAGGGTAGAGATTAGACAGCTGTGGACTCCCGGGTGGCAGGAGGAGAAGGACCAGGCAGAGGAGAACGAGGTGACAGGAGAAGAAGGTTGAGGAGACAGAGGAGGATTCTCCCCTGCTCCTAGTGCCAATCCCTGCTGGGAGCCTTGGGCAATAAAACCAACCAGGTAGGAGACAGCTTCTGTGTTTTGGGAAGGGTTGAACATGGATATAGGACCAGGAAGGTGACTTTTAGGTGCCCCTGCTCACCCAGTGAGCTGTGTGTTCTCACAGAGCAGCTCCGTGGCATCCCCAAGTCCCCAATACTGTGGCCAGCAGTTCCATCTTCCTGGCTGTGACTCCTGATGGCTTTGGTGGTCCTGGAACCACATTCACGGAGGAGCTGCTGTTCCTCTGCTCCTGCTTCCCTGGGATTTGCTGAGCTGCAGCTCTCCATGCCTTGTTTTACAAGAGTGGCTTCCCTGGGCAGGAGCCATGGCTGTGGCAGTGGGGGTTTGGGTTTTCTGTGAGGAAAGGGATGCCACAAAGTCTCTGATGGGTTGAGGACCCCCTTAAGGGATGGGTGGGTGCCTTTGGACCATTCACAGAACTCCAGCGTGTGCCACCGGGGCTGCAGGGGCAGCTCCATCCCCTGAGCTGCTTAGTGGCTGTTGCTCCCTGTCCCTGGTCCTTGTCCCTGTCAGGAACACCTGCAGGTATGTCAGCCTAGAGACCAGCCCCAGCTCCTAACCCTGAGAGTCCTGCACCTGAGGGGTCTGCACACCAGTCTAAGGGTCTGGTGCAGGGAAAGGGGTGCTGCAAAGTCTCTGACGGGTTGAAGTCCCCCTTAAGGGATGGGTGGGTGTGTTTGGACCATTCACAGAACTCCAGCCTGTGCTGCAGGGGCAGCTCCATCCCCTGAGCTGTTTAGGGGCTGTCGCTCGCTGTCCCAGTGTCAGGAACACCCTCAGCGCTCAGCCCCGCGCTGCTCCGGCTCTCCCTCACTGCGCTCCCTCCCTTAGGGCTGTCCGTGAGGAGGCGGCGGTGACACCGAGCTCTGCTGCCATGTGGCCGCTGGGGAGCCCCGTGGC